AAGCCCTCCCCTCTTTCCACTCTTAAGAGTTGTCAGGTGAGACAGATCACCCACCAGCTCCCTCAAGCTGAGGAAAGAGTTCCTGGTACCAATTCTGTTTAAAGATCCCTGCATTCATTCTCCTTCCCCTTTCCTTCCCTGGATACCCTTCCTATAAGAGGTGCTGACTTCTACCAGAACAATCACCCATGCATCCATTACTGCTGCAGGGTTTTTTTAATCACTATTACCTCTTGACAACATCCAGGTGTAGCCACTGGGGTGCTCAGGAAGCCCCAGCATCCCTGAAAGCTCTGGCAGCATCAGGAGCTGCAAGAACTGAATCAGCACCCTGGGTCTGGGTGTTCATACACCTTTCTCTGGAAAGCCAGCAACAACTTGCTCTCAGTGGGTTTATGGGGTGGTTTTTTATCCCAACCAGCAAGCTCATACCTGCCTCAAGAGCAGACAGGAGCTTGCCTCAGGGAAGTGCTGGTTTGTTTTAATTAGTAGGGAATGCAGCAGCCCCAGGTGGAAGGGGAGTGAGGAACCTTGCAAGAACCTGGAGGGCTCAGGGCTGACCCTGCCCCACATGCTTGACTCCTTTCTGTAACACATCTCTTCCCCAGGTTTCCAGAAGGAAGCAGACTCCCTCTTGTCAGTGACCAAACTCAGCACCATCAGTGACTCTCAGAACATGGGCAAAGCCCGGGACATCCTGTTAAAGCTCTCTGAAGAGACAAACATCTTCCCTACCAGCTGGGAGCTTTCTGAGCGTTACCTCTTTGTGGTGGTGAGTAGTTCATGCTCAGACCTTCCTCCCCGTGGCCCCCATCTCTGCAGGTGAGCTCAGATGAAGGGGAACTGCACCAGAGGACACTCACACTCCTGGTGGCATCTGGGGCTTCCCCGTTAGATGTTGTGCTTGTAGCTTGGCTGGTTAACCTCCTTGGAAATGTCAGTGCTGTGGCACCAGAAATTTACCCACCACCAAGTTTCTTCAAGCCTGTGCAACTGGGTGCTCTGGCAGCCTGTGGGGAGGTCTAATCTTTTCCCAGCTGAATGGGAAAAGATTAGACCTCATGCCTGGCTTAACCTGAGAGCAGTCGTGGAGGGAGGACCCTGAGCAGGGAGCTGCCCAAAGCAGCCTGGAGTGACTGTAAATTAAGAGAATAAGCCCTATGAGGAGAGGCTGAGGGAACTGTTTAAAGAAGAGGAGGCTGAGAGGAGACCTCCTTGCTCTCTACAACTGCCTGAAAGGAGGTTGGAGCAAGGGGGCTTGGTCTCTTCTCCCAAGGAACAAGTGATAGGACAAGAGGACATGGCCTCAAGTTGTGCCAGGGGAGGTTTAGACTGGATATTAGAAAGAATTTCTTTACTGAAAGAGTGATTGGACAGTGGAACAGGCTGCCCAGGGAGGTGGTGGAGTCACCATCCCTGGAAGTATTTAAGAGAAATCTAGATACAGTGTTTAGCAGCTTGATTGAAGCACTGATTGGGTAGATTAGGTTATGGTGGGTGGATTTAGCTTATGGTTGGACTAGATGATCTTCTGGGATGATTCTGTCCGGGGTTAGGACTCTAGTGGTAGGAGTCAAGGTTTAAGGGTCTAGGCATAAGCATCTAGATTAGAGGGTCTAGGGTTAAGAGTCTAGGGCAAATGACCTAGTTGATGTGGTGGTGTGAGGTCACAGGCTGGACTTGATGATCTCAAAGGTCTTTTCCATCCTTGGTGATTGTGTCAACCCCTGTTGCTTTGGCAGGATCGGCTCATAGCTCTGGATGCTGCAGATGAGTTCTTCAGGATGGCCAGCGTGGTGTATCCAAAGAGGCCCAGTGGGGAAAGAGGGAATGACAGCCAGAAGGCCCTGCAGTGATGCCCTGAGGAACCTGCCTTGCTGGTGTGAGATGGACAGTGGGTTTCCTTTCCTCCGGGACCAGGCTCCTTTGCCGAGGGGCTGGCACAAGTTTGTGCCACTCCTCGTTTTCCTGCAGAGAAGGAAGTGGCTGGAGCTGAGTGAGGTGGTCAGTGAGCTGTGCCCCATCAGGAGGGCCCAGGGAAGCAGGCACTGACCCCAAGGTGCTCCCAAGCAGGAGGGATCAAGAAGTGCCCTAGGGTAGCCCTGGTGGGAGACTGCTGGCCTAGGAATGTGTGCAGTGGGTACGAGGGGAACCTGCCACACACCAGTAGCTGTAAAAGCTGAGATGGCTCCAGTTCCAAGTGCTGCAAGGAGATCCACCTTCTGCTGGAACCTGCTGCTCCCCCTGGGAGTGAAGAAGGAAGATACCTCAGTTGTCTACAACTCTGACATTTCTCTGTGTGCTGGTCCTTTTCCTCATCCTCATTTCCCCACTGGGCAGGTCCCAGCAGATGCAGCAAAGGGGCAGGAGCTGCATGGAGCTGGGAGAGGAGCTGGTGCCAGGCAGCAAAGCCTTGGAGCAGGGTCACAGTTTGGGTGCTCTGTCCTGGCCAGTCATGGTTTGGAGATGTGTATGTCAGGGTGCTCAGCTCAACATCTTCCAAGAAGGTGGATTTTAGGAAGGCGTCAAGGTCAGACCTGCTGAGAATCTGGCTCCTGTAATGCCCTCAGATCAGTTGCCCAACATCTTCATTATTTTCTGGAAGTTTATCTCATAATTGCATTAAAAAACCCAACACCCTAAAGCTGCATGGACTGTCAATTACCAGCAATCCCTGCTGGTAATGAGGATTTTTTATGAACATCAGTATTATTTTGGGGTTATGTCTGATAAAGAGCAATAATTTTAAAACACTGGATTTGATCTTTGAAAAACAAGTGGAAGTGCTTCACTGATTAACATGTGTGCTGCTAATTGGCCAGTTGAAAATGCTGGTTACACAGGACCTCCCAAAACAGCAAACCAGAGGTTTTATTTGTTTATACCTACAGTGTTTGAAATCTTTCTCACTATATATATATATATATATATAAGCCATTCACATTTGCATTTTCCCTAAACATCATCCCTCAGTTTGTGTTAACCCTTAATAAACCGATTAGTTTGTGGAGCA